TATACATAAATTACAGGACTGTGCTGTGAATTTGTTATTTTGCTTTACATGTTGGCCTCCAAAACCACTCTTAATGACAGAGACCCTTATCCACCATAAAATGAAAATTTAGGTTCTTCTTAATTGAGTTCCCTTCAGAATTAAGATGAGCCAGTGCATATTTAGAGGCTCTGTTGAACACAGTATAATAATACTTATTTCAGTATATTAAATTAGAACATGTTTCTGTTCTAAAGATTCTATCTTGGGAAACATTATCTGAATCAGCTAACAACATTAGATGTTATAATTATGTATTATATTGTATTTATGATATAGTTATAAACAATTATAAAGTAAATTATTGTAACTATTTGGAAATAATTACAAAGTAATGATTGTAATAATAACCTTGTAGTTATTTATATTTATTATATATCACATGATATTTTAATTTACCAGAAATAAACAAACAGGAAATTCAAAGTTATGCTCTGCATATTTCAGCTCAAAGAATATACCAAGTTCAGCTGAAATGTGGAAATAGATCTATGGCCTTTGCTCATTATCCCAAGATTTAAGATTAGGTTTTCAGGTAGAGTGTCAGCTGCAAGCAGTTTGGTATTCAGAAATCACTGTGTTCATCAACTTCTGTCTCTCTCCTGTATGTGAACTCCATTTACTTCAGGAAATACTTTTTTATTTTGTTTTTCCTTCCTGAAATGAATTTCTATTAAAAAGCCCAACTCATCCTTGTCTAACCTCAATTAGACTATCTTTTTTCCTTTTTGTTCCTAATGCAGAGGCATTACTCTCTTTGACTGGTCTGGTCTCTTACAGCATACATTGTTAATATTAATTTATTTTTCTTATACTCAGTATTCAGACCAGTGATTCTATTCTGGAACAATGATAAAAGCCAGTAAAAGGAAATGTAGAATCCTGGTTTTGGTCTCAGAATGACATTTCTTTCTTCAGAATACTTTTGCAATTAATTTTATTTCTAGACATCAGGCTTCACTCCTTTCTTCTTTTATTTATATAAAGCAATAGAGCTATTTCAATAATCTTCTGATGAAGTGATAGTTCTAGGAATGTATTGTAAGAGGAAAATTAGTGGGGCCTTTCAGAACTTGGATTGAGAGGGAGAGGCCTTTTTTCATCTCCCAGCTCAGTAGATCCTATCTTCAACCTTATTTTTGATTTGTGATTCAGGAAACCTTGATTGATTCACGGGCACATTTTGAGCTGATTTAATTTGAAATGTTAATTTCTGGAAATGTTAGAACACTTTAGAGTTAAAGAGCACCTGAATGATGGCATAACTGAAAGTCATAAAATAAGAAGTTCCACATCAACAGAAGAAATTAGATCTTATTCTAATTTCACATCTTTTAAATTGTAAGTGTTAGAGCAAGAAAGTGTGTGACTGGAGATATTTTCAATTATAATGGAAGGAACGGGGGCTATTCAGTTTTACTATTTCATTTGGAGAATCAAAGTCACATCTCCCTTCCATGTACATTGCCTCCTACCTGCTCAGCCCTGGAAGAGACTTGTGTTGCTTTGTATGGCCTTACTCCAGTTTTGGGTTGCATGCATGTATCCCAGTCATCCCAGATGTTTGTACCAAGTGCTTTTGTTTTACTATGTAAATTCACAGAATCACTGAATCAATTAGGGTGGAAAAGACTTCTGAGATCATGGGGTCCAACCTGTGACCCAACACCACCATGTTCAACTAGACCACGGCACAGAGTGACACATGCAGTCTTCCCTTAAACACCTCCAGGGAGGGTGGTTCCCCCATATTCCTGGGCAGCCCCTTCTAATGTCTAATTGCCCTTTCTGTGAAGACATTCTTCCTAACATCCAACCTAAACCTCACCTTAGTTCCTTAAGACTATATTCTTGCATCCTGTTCCTGGCTGCCTTGGACAAGAGGCTGAACCCCACTTGGCTACAACCTCCTTTCAGGGAGCTGTAGAGAGCAATAAAGCTTACCCCGAGACTCCTTCAGGCTAAACAACCCCAGCTCCCTCAGATGCTCATCAGACTTGTACTCCAGACCCTTTACCAACCCCTGGTTGCACTTCTCTGGACCCATCCCAGCACCTCAAAGTCCTTCCTGGGCTGAGATGCCCAGAACTGGACACAGGACTCAAGGGATGGTCTCACCAGTGCCAAGTACAGGGGGACAATCACTGCCCTGCTCCTGCTGGCCACACTACTCCTAACATAGACCAGGGGCCATTGGCCTTCTTGGCCACCAGGGCACACTGCTGGCTCATGTCCAGTACCCTCAGATCCCTTTCTGCCTGGGCACTGTCCAGCCACACTGTCCCAGCCTGTGGCAGTGCACGGGGTTGTTGTGGCCAAAATGCAGGACTTGGCACTTGGGCTTATACTATTTGACTTCATACTATTGGGTTCTGCCCATCTGTCCAGCCTGTCCAGGTCTCTCTGCAGAGCCCTCCTACCCTCCAGCAGATTGACACTAGCGACCAACTTGGTGTTGTCTGTGAATTTGCTGATGGCAGATTCAATCCCCTCCTCCAGATCATCATTGAAGATATTAAAGAGTACTGATCCCTGGGGAACACCACTAATGACTGGATGCCAACTGGATGCACCACCACCACTCTCTGGGTCCGGCCAGCCAGAGAGTTCTTAACCCAGTGAAGAGTGCACCAAGATGAGGCTTGCCAGCTGTTCCAGGAGTATGCCATGGAAGATGATGCCAAATGATTTTTCCTTTTATATATTGTTCATATATATTCATAGCTCTGTAGACTGTTATTATATAGTAATACAGTTACCTAACTTCAGTACTTTTCCTACTACACAAATCCTGAGGACCTTCTAATCTTGCTTCCTAAGGAACTGAAGGTCAAGGCACCTTCCCAAGACACTTTCCCATAAACAGTTCGCAAGGAAGGTGGGTCTTGATCCAAGAGGGGGAATTACTTAATCACCTGTATTTCTAACTGGGGACTCTTGTCAATTATGCTAATTTGCTGAACTTATTCAAGCCTACATGTCCTATATCATGTGTGCACCTTTGGAACATTTTCAGTGCGAATTTCTGCATGTTGTGCAGCTGGAGGGACCCTCGTTTAAATCATAACCACATTTTATCACCTAACTTTGTTTGGCTCTTGATTTTAGGGCTCAAAATGCAACAAAGATGGTAGAAAAGGTGTCATATTGATATAAGTTTAAAGGTTTAGTTGATCAAAATACTTCATTCTTCAATATACATACTAGATCTCTTGAGATCTGGGAGTTTTATTCCTTGTTAAATTACCAAGTTTTTGTTATCTGTGAAGGATGGGTAAAAACAACTGGCAAACTGTTTACATCATCAGGTACACCAATGCTTGTTTTAGTTTGAAGGCCTGCAAGGGTCCCTCCTTGGCTAAATTACAGGTGAGTAACTTTTTAGGGAAAAGAAGTGACTAAATGTTGAAGTGGAATACTAAGGATGGCAGTTTAGTTCTTCCTGGAGTGTATGTTTAAAGCAAACCTGTTGCTGATAGCTGCATCCCACGTGTGGGTTTGTGCTCCAGAGCAGCCCTAGTGTGCACAACCCAAGGTTCTTGTGGATGAAACCATTCAGGTGAAGTGTTGCTCTCCAGCCACTGTGGGCAGGTACAATGGAGGAAAGAATGGGAAGACTCTTCCTGTGGCTGGTGGAACTCTATAGAAAGGTGATAGGGAACACAACTGAATCCTGAAGAGGCCATGGAGCTTCTCCAGGCACCTGGATTTTCTGGATTAAAAGATTTTATATTATAAATTCTGTACAGGAGGAGGAGGAGGAGGAAAATAGGTGCCTTGTTTTTTATTGAAGGAAAAGGAATGCCTTACATTTTAGCAAGTCTTCAGCAGGATTTGGACCACTTCAGACCACCCATACCATCCTCTAAGAGCCAAGCCTAAAATCATAACTAATTGTATGTGATGAGGCCTTCAAGTTTGTTTTGAAACACATCTTAATTTTTACAAGTCCTAAGTACCTAGACAATTCCATTGCCTTGAAATTAAAGTCAGACCTTTAATTTGCCCTTTTTGTAAATAGGTAGTACTGTGCAAAACTGAAATATGGATGCTGAATGCAGAGTCATGGAGAGTTTTAGGCAGTCCCGTGGTCATGGCAATTTTCATCATGTTAATTTAGGTGGGAAGTGACCAGTAACTACAGGTAGGTGAGGGAAACACTGCTAGTAGTGAGTAAGTACTAGTAGGTGAGGGAACACTGCTCACAGACTAGGAATAAAGGGGGACAGTCAGAATTATGGAAGGAGTTGTGCTCTGGGATGGGATCTGGCCTTTGATGTAAGTGCCACCTGGGTAAATTGCTAAGGATCTACAGTGTTAGTGTTGGCTTTTCTGCTTGCTCTCAGATTTACTTACACTGCCTTTGTTTGAAGCAGAGAAGTCTGACCAGCAGTTTCCTATATTTCAGTTATGCCAAGGTGATTTATAGCAGCTGAGGAATCTAACACAAAACTATTCCATGGAAAAACATTTGTCAGGTGCCCTGCAAGACCAGGTATTTTTATGCAGTTTTGGGTCAGGTTTATTTTGCATGAACTTTTATCTTACCACTTTTTAAATTAGTGTTTACTGTTTTAAGGCCAAGTGTACTATCCTATATTGGATGTATATCAAAGATGTAACTAATCAAACATACCACTGTGTTGTATAATGGAGAAATTATTTTAGTGCCTAAAGTCAAACACACTTGTGATTTTTCTCTTTTAATATCAATTGTTGAACTCTATGAATTATAAATTTATGCTTTAAATATTTATTCTGTTAACTGATTAAAATTATTTATTATTCTGGTGTTCTAAGAAACAGAAAACTAAAGACAAAGATATGTTTCAACTGTTGTCTGTGCACTTCAAATTCTGTAATTATGGAAATAAAAGGTTGGCATCACTCTGATGATGGCTTAAAGAAAAATTGAGATGATATTTCATTAAATAACAGAGAGAAAAAATAGCACTTCAGAATTTTTGCAGTTAGGATGAAGAATTTATTGTATGTACAGTTAAGCAACTCTACTGTAGATGTAGTTCCTCTTTAAAGAAAATGAATACAGTAATCAAAATAGTTCTAGCATGGGAATTACAATACAGACTGAAACTTGACTAAACCAGAAATTAGTTAATTGACTTGAAAGAACACGGAACCTGAAACAACAAATCGCAGTTTGCATCATTAACCAAGGACAGTAAAAAACTGTACAGTACAAGCAACACGTTACAATAAGTTATGACAAATAAGGCAGTCTTTCTCATTTAGGACAAAAGGGATAAAGGAAAAGGTATTAAAATCTCATAAAACCACCATATCTCTTTTCCATCTCTGGGACTTCTTTGGAGTAAGTTTCCCCATCTTCTTCTGAAGGGAGAATGGAGTCGGCAAAGCGCTTAAGAAACCCACCATATCGTTTCTGGTAATCCAGCCACCACTCGGGCCTGCCCACTCTTCTCATGAAGCCACCGTATCTCTTTTGCAGCTCTTTGGCCTCATCTTCCAATTCAGGGCTGCGCTTTATGCTTCTCATGAAGCCTCCGTACCTTTTGCTGACATCGCCGTCGTTCTCATTTACCTCTCGATAGTGCGCCGCTTCAGGGTTATCCCCTGTTCCTAGAAGCTCCTTCAGCAGATCAGAGGAGTTGGCAAGGGCATCGTCATCTGAGTCTTTCTTCATAAAGCCTCCATACCTCTTAGCCAGGATTTCTCCTCCGTTAGCTTCATCCTCTGGTTCCGCTCGATAGAGCTCATCCATTTTCTTCATGAACCCCCCATATCTTTTCATGAAGCCTCCGTACTTCTTCGCAAGCAAATGGTTCTCATCCAGCTCTTTCTTGTCATCCGGAGCAATGCTGCCATCCTCAGAGACATCCAGCTTTGCCAGTTGCAAGAACTCCTTGCAGGTCTCCCAGGCTTTGGCAGAGCCTGAAAAATGGATGTGGTTTACTGAGAATGATTTGATAGTAACTCTCACCTCATGATGACTTTATCTTCGATTTACTTGTTTATAAAAGAGCATGAGTGAGCCTCTCTTTGTGACTGGCTTGCAAGAAATGCTGATTGGAATGTTTGGAAACAGCTGATTTGGTACTTGTCTGTTTTGAAGTTCTTCATATCCCTCTCTGAAGGACAAGGTAGTCTCCACTCTAAGAGACAGACTGCCAGATAAAATGAATTTTGGGTCCTCTATGTCAAGGTTGACCCTATGTTTCTGTTTCAAAGAAGCCACAAGTACAGTTCTTGTGTCTCCCTTACACTTGTGTGAGTTATGGTTTATTTTTTTTTTTTTTAATTTACTACCGGGAAGCTGAAAACCAATTGTGGTTTACTTCATAATGCAAGTGTAGAAGCATATTCAATCTTCATAATTAAATTATCATTCAGAAATTTTAGAAAATGAGTTGCACAGCATGGTATTGCAAAGAAGCCAGCTCTACTCTACTGTTCAGTATCTTCAATACACTGTATAGCTTTAAAGGCTGTGTGTTGCCATGAGTTTCTCTTTGTGGAACAGATCATTCTAACTTGTACCAATAGAAATGTAAAAATACAGGCTCGCTTAGACAGGTTCAAAGTTCCATTTTTGCTAGCTGGAAAGCAGTGACCATCAAAGAGAGAGGAAAAAAATCCTATGCCATGCTTCTGACTGTGTTGAAAAATTGTCAGGCCACAACAAAAAAGCTTTCAGTACCTTATGCATATCTCAAGACCTGCCTTGTGATGATAGAAACACAGATATTAGCTATGATTATCTCTCTTGTGTCAGGGGAATTTACATCTTGTGCATCCATACCTTTCAGTTATAAAATAAAGTGATTCCAGTGGTTTTTTTTCTTGCCATGGTTTTCATACCACAATAGGTAAAGAAAAATCATCAACATTTTCAATAAGAGAAGCACTCGTTCTGACTATAGATGACATGTTCGAAGGATCCTAACATACTTTAAAGTGTGAAATTAAACTCCAGTACAGCTCTCTCAGATAGCTCATTGTTCACTGCACAGCCTGTCTCTTGAGCCTCACTTTAGTCTGAGAAATTTAAATATGATGTTTTTTGTATGATCGCAAGAAAATGAAAGGGATTTATATATTTTGCAACACAATAATTTAACTGGCACTATGCACTTATTACTGTATATTACAGTCATGCTGTAAAGAGATTAAGATTTCAGCTTCAGTCTGGCTTTGGAATTGTTCTAAATCAAAGCATGAATAGGTCTCTCCCTTTCTCAGCTAGTTTTAATAACCTCTTGTCAGATGAGCACACTCCCTAAGTGTGAGTGACCAGGTAAAACTCCTCTCTTACAAATACAATGTGATAAATTCAGTTATTATATTACTAGATACTAATATCTAGAAACAATAGTTTCCAAGAATTGTTCATATATGTTTAACAAATACAAGGTATGCTACATTGCTTTTTCACATAGTTAGCTAGCAAACATTGTTACAGGATGAGACTTTGATTCTTTCTTTAATGATTACTGAAGGTGTGCAAGAAAAACTGGCAATACAGACATGCAGAATATATACTCCAAAAAGCACAAATCCCTTTCTCTGTAAGGACAAAATACCACTTTTTTTTCCCTAGTTAACATTAAAGCTAAGGTACGGTTGAAAGCTAGTGTTAGCAAAGGGAAAAACCAAAACCAGAACAAAACAAAGTAGAGGGAACTATTTTGCTAGCTGTCTAAAGAATATTGCCCTTCTGAGCCTGCAATGGCCAAGAGGTCTTGAGCTTTCAGATTAAGTAGAAGTACCTAGTGGTTCCTAACTCTGTGTAAGGCTAAAGAGCCCAGTTCTTCCTTTTGCACACTCCCAAGTAACCAGTGACATGATAGCAACAAAACTTTTAAGATCATTTTAGATGTGCTGAGAGCATGATGCCTCAATATGTGTGTATTTGAGGTCAGGAACAACCGATGCCCCTGGCAAAGTGCTTGGCAGCCAGAGTTCTCACCTTCTTCAGGAAGGGCTGAGGGACCCCAGGCTTTCACTCATCCCCATCTTTAAATTTCAAACTGAGTTGCCTCCATGACTGTTCTTTTAAATAATTTCTACATCATGAAGTTTACAGATAATCCCCATCCCCCAGTGCTCCTCATTCCGTATTTAGCAGGATTTGTCTGAGAAGCCGAAGTCTTTCACAGGCATATTCCTAACGCTGTGCAGCACCGTGCAGAGAGGAGAAGCAGCGAAGGTACTGCTACTCAAAGAGACTTTAAACCCACTTTTTTTTTAAGAGAGATTTCAGGCAGATCTTTTCAGCTCGACAGCCATCCTACCCGGAGAGAGCTCATCTTACCATGGAGGCAGCGGACAAGGGTCGGGACCCTCCCTCCCGTTCTGCTCGGCTTCCCCCCGTCCTGTCGGCGTTGGAATGCCCGGCAGCGACCCCTCCTTCCCCAGAGATGCCCTCTCCGGTGGGATTTCTCTTCCTCCTTACGTTTTCACTCTGCCTTTTCCTCGTTCCCCGCGGGGCTGTTCCTTTGTCCCCATCCCCGAGGGCCGCCGCTCGCCGTCGGGCAGCGGGAGGCACGGGCGGGCTTGGGCGGCTCCTCGGGGCGCTCTGGGTTTGTATCAGCGCTCCCCGCTCGCTCCTCGCCCCCTCTGCCCAAACCAGCTTCTCCCTCTCTTTCCCCCTCCAGAAAAAGGGTCTTCCGAGCCACCCCCCGCCACTTCCCCCACCGTTTATTTTTCTTGTTCCGCTGCTTTTCCCCGCTGCCCCTTTGCTCCCTTCAGAGCTAGGGGGAGCGGTGCAGGGGCTGCGGCGGCCCCGGTGTCCCTTACCAGGGGGTGGATGCCGGCGCGGGGGCCCAGGCGGTAGGCGCAGGCGGCGCAGTCGCGGCCGCAGTCGGCCCGCGCCCTCGGGAGCAGG